ATGCACCAGGCACAAAACCTTCCTCAGATCCAGCATGCACAACAATATGCCGTTTTCCAGAGGATATCTTTGTAGTGACACCAGTTGTTGAAGGTCCTTGCCAAGACTTTTTAACTTTATAATTCTGATGTACATAAGTTTCATCAAGGTACACAATTTGCTTTCCTTCGTTTCGTTTTATATTTATTTCTCTCAAATACTTGTGCCTCCATGCAGAAATCTGGTATTTTTCTATAAGCATAGAACATTCATTTTCATTGCTTTTAAAAGAAAATCCATTCTTAAGCATAATTTTTCGTAAAGTCTCACGGCTACCACTGAATCCTATTGCATCTTTTAATTCATTGTGAAGGCTTCTTAATGTTGGAACAATTTTTTTCACACAGTAAAATTCATTTACTTTATTCCGAATTGCACTTAAATCAAAATTATCTAAAGCAGACACTGTTGGTTGATGAGGTCGTTTTTTCCCAGGAGTGTCCCATTTTCCTTTATTAATTAATGCTTCATTTTTTATCCTTCTTAGTGTCCTTATACTTACATCTATAAAAGATTAAACACTTTGAAACAAAGATATGTTAAATGTATTTAAAAGCAAATAATGATAGACACATACATCAAAATAATTTAAATACCTATTCAACTATGAATGCAATTTATGTTTAATTTAGTTAAGTTTATGTGCATATTTAGCATGTATAACAATTACATGGTTTGATTAGTTTCATGAATTCTGTGAATTTCCTTGTTAAACAAAACATTCTTATGACATCATTGGATGTCAACAATAAAAACCAATACATCATAAAAAACCTATGTAAATATTATAGGAATACTATCAATCTATCTTAAATCAAAACAAGAAAAGAGACCTGTCATTGAAGAAATTTTTTGTAAGTACTGCGTTTCCGAATTCAGCATTTCTTGTTTTTCTAAAGTTTTTATTGCATTTATCTCCTCCATTATTGGTTGAATATCACCATCACAGTTATCTGAAATAGAGCAATATTTTATAAAAAATATCTGTTTAGTTAATTACAGAAAATTAAAACGAAAGTATCAAAATTATAATACAAAACTAACCTAAAAAAGATACAACTTTATCTAATCGTTGTAATTTCTCCATGAAATTTTTATTTAATTCAGTTTTCACTTCAGTAAACTTGTCAATCATGATGGAAAGAAGTTTCCTCGATGAACTTTTTATCGGCTTCGACATAATTTTTAACCAAAAACACAAGTTCAAATTCGCAAAAACAACAAAATTCAATATTCTTGAATTGTCTAACGTAGTGTCAAACTGACAGTTCTATGTTGTTGCCATATGAAAACGGAAAAATAGGTGGTGTCACGTTTCGCTTGCCAAACTCTAGGTACCAACTTCTTAGTCTAAAACATAGACGTTTATATCTCAGCGCAGCCTTGTTGTATGACCTATGCCATAACAGATACGATTGTATTCCTATAGTTGATAAGATACGATACAGAGTACCCACCAGAGCCCATGCTCGCACTCTTTGTCGATTGTTTGCAACTCCTCCGTGTCGTACTAATGCTGGTAAACGTTCACCCCTGTATAGACTGGTAGACTCATATAATGAGTGGTTCAATACAGTCGACATGGCGGTGACGAACATAAATATTTTCAAAAAATTGTTATTGGTAAATCTTAAGCGAATTGCTTAATATACATTATATACTTATGTGGTACTTTCAGGGAAAGCGTACGAGGCTTATCAGCCACTATAAGTAAATTTAGTTTAAAGAAATTATTATAACTGTATGTTTCAATTATTGTTTTCTCTCTATTTTTTAAATTGTAAGGCCAATTGCTAGATTGATGTACAGTACACAATATAGTATATTTACTTAAATAACGCTTAGTGTAACAAAACTATATTTACATGTAACTTAATCTTGCGATCTGCGCCAAGTTCTTGTATTGTCCCTTCTCTTTCTATGATTTTGTATGACACCCATAACACCTTCATTATATACTTTACTTTCACTCTTAATTGTATGTAATTGATAAATATGTGGTAAACGGTGCTGGTGTCAAAGTTAGTACTATAGTATACTACTACTAATTAATATATTGTAATTACTTTGTAACTGTTTGTTTACCCAAATAAATAGAAAAAAAAAAAAAAAAACAATTGTCTGGTAGAATTTGCATGAAAGCAGTCTTATAAATCACAAACTAGTTTATTTCGTTTTTAGAAATGAAGAAGTCAATGACCGATTAAAAACTTTTCCTTAGTACGTCCCAAAAACAGCTGACTCAGGGTTGAAAACACTCATTTTTTTTACAAAAACTTTATAATTTAATATCTCCGAAACTATTTGATCAAGACTTATAATTTTTTTTTACATCATATTAAAGACAAATAGTACTCTCCAGGAACCTCGGGAGTGTCGGTCGTTCTGTTCCACTGAGTATAGATGCAGTACCTTATTATTCTAAGGTAGTACAAGTATTTATGTATTATTTATTAGTCAATTGCATAAACGTATATTAAAGTTGTCATTAGTTTAAAGCGACATTACCTATACAAATTTGACACTTATTAGAGCTTGGCGCCGTCAATAAACCTTAATGGACGTTTATGTAACTGACTCTATGTACGTAGTCTTTAGGGGTGGGCAAATGGTAAAAAATATCGATATATAGTTATAATAGGGATGTTTTTCAAATATATATTGATTATACAATATGGATGTGTTGATATATCGATAGTTTTTTCTAAATTTAAGAGATCGGATTAGTCGAATATATGATGTGACGCAAGAGCAAATTGCAGAACTTTAAAAAATATTTCAATTCTGAATTAATTATTTTCCGAATAAATATCGGTATTTTGATATATCGATTTTTGATGGGTCTGATCTGATCAGTTATCACAGTGAAGGATTAGTTATACTTTTACTTTTTGATTAGTTGTGTGATACACATGGACTTAGTACTTATAAGAGAATAGAGTAATCCCGCCTGAAAAGCGAGTCGAGCGAGTTCTAATAGGGCAAAAATACCATTTTAATAAAGTGAGACTTTGTGAACTGAACTATAAGTTCACTTTTTTAACTACTGCAGCTATTATCTTAAACAATAGTCTTGTTGAACTTTTTATAGGCTTTTCGTGCAATTCGATATCGATATCAATATATCCCTGCTAAATAAATAAGTGAAAAGCTCCATGGTCCAAAAAAACATTAGTTCCCGAAATCAAACTAGATGTCGCTATTGTACTTTCTTGATTTCTCCATGACAACCCTTCCGGTTCTCTTTTATGTATAAAAGTAAATTAGTTATAAAAACTCAATAAACAACTCATTATTCTTTTTATACTGTTTCGTGTTTGTATTGATGTCTAAGTTTCGAACTTTTCAAATTTCAGTTTTTTAATATGTTAGTTAAAAGGAACGGAAATAACTGTCTTTGGTCCATTCGTTTCCTGCAAATATCAACTTTTGCTAGATCATCTAGTGGAGGTGCTTTATTCAGGCATTCTTTTTTAAAAATACTTCCTCATTAGGCCGGTATGATGGGTTGTCAATTTTTTTTTGGAACGAATTAGAACGAACACATTGTACCAGTACGAATACCTGGGTAGATTGATTTCATCCATTAAGAATACCTACGATTTAGCACACCAATCCGCATTGGGTCCTCCACTTGGGCCTAATGACGTAATAAAAGGCTTTTCGTAATTATAAAAAGGATCGAGCTGAAGAGAAATGGACTGCGTTTAAAATCGCTAGAAATCGGTGTAACCAGATTATACGTAATGCAAAACGTCGCCATATTCTCAATAATATTTATTCCTTATCTTCTGCTGATATTGTTTTTCAATACAAATACGGCAAGTACAAATAGAATATGAGTTTTTTATTGAGTTTTGAAAACTAATTTACTTTCAAACTTGAAAGAAAACCGGAAAGGTAATCATGGAGAAATCAAGAAAGTACCGTAGCGACATCTAGTTTGATTTCGGAAAATAATGTTTTTTTTTAAACTTCCTCATTGGTTGCTCGTAACTTAAAGTTCGACAAACGCAACTCGATTAATACGAACTAATCCTTGAATAATTTTCTTTATTATTTGTATAAAGGAAAATGGAAACTAACTTAATGGAAGTGAGAAGATTTTTTAAAGTTATGGAAATCAATGGTATTAATGCTGTGAAATGAGGAAGTATTTAAAAAATAAAAATTAGTTCTTGAAATCATACTAGATGTCACTCGCGATGTTTGGATTTTGTTTATGTTGTTCATTTAAATTTTCTTTCTGACGTAATAAAAGTAAATTAGTATCGAATATTAATAAATATGAACTCGTTTGGTGTTTCTTATAATATCTAACTTACAAATTAATTTTAATTTATTTTAATCGTAAGTTTAAGTTGTTTATTTAGTTACGTTTAAAGGAACGATGTTTGGATGAAACATCAACATTAGGGATGAGCCAACTTATTGGTTGCTCGTAACTTTCATCTGAATTCAGGTTTGGAATGAAGAACCAAAAGCGGAGCGCAGAATTCAGCTTGTATTTGTATATGTCTTTATGCATCCACAAAACGAATGATATTAATATAAATATCAAAATTAATTCCAACAATATTATTGTAAGAACCAAAAAGCACATACCAACCGTACGAATTAACTTAACACATGGCTCGACCTCCGCCATCGACATGCAAGACCTTGCTGTTCGTTTAGAACAGACGTTTCATGTTGATTGCTGAATGTTTATTAAGATATAAACCATTAAAATACAAATATTTCTACTAAGGTTGTTTTACTTTAATTTTTTTAATGAACGGTATTTTTTATAATGGCAAGAAGAAAGAAAGAGATATACGGCCTCCGTTATGTCTATCTTTCTCGATTCGGATTAGATTCCGTACAAAGAGGAATTAAAAGTATACTTTAACCGATAGACATAAGATTCATTTTTGTAATTAAAATTGTTTGAATTTATCAGTCCTGTTGTAAGTACGAAGTCCATGGTGATACATGAGAAATTGTACGTTTTCAGCTTCTTTTAGAAATTAGCTGTAATCGGTAAATTGGACATATATTTGAAGATTTGAGTGTCCGTGATGTTTAATAATCGTTTTAAATACGAAAAGGCAAGGAGGCGATTAGCTGCTGTAACTTTTCTGTCCAACATTTCATTGGATGGAACAATTAAAGGTACTGATTTAGTACATTTGGCTGAAAAATCATTGAAAACTGAAAAAGCTGACGTTGGTGATAGCAATACAGAACATGATGAGCTAAAGAATAATTCATGTAATCGACAAAAAAAAATACAAGTTAGTCCACTTCATCGCCTGGGAGCTGATAATCACTCCCTTAGTTCAGACTCTGAGTTAACAAACACAATTACTCCTGTGAAAAGCAATATCAACACTTTCAGAGAAAGGTAATGTGAATAAATTCTAGTTGATGCCTAGATTGTGAACTTGGCCAGTTGTAATACTTGCAGTATATATTTTTTATAGATGTGCATCTGGAAATACCGATTCATTCAAAGATAAACAAGCATCAGGCAGAGTTAAAAAGGGTCACTTGGTATCTGTAACTGGAGTTACAACTGATGATAAAAGCAGTACAGAAAGTTTAAATTTTGGTAAGATAGCATATTATTATTATTAAATCAAATTGAATTTTTAAAATAGGTATCTCAGTCTGATTCATTCTAATATCCCTTATTTTTAGGTCGTATTCGTAATGTCAACAACTGCATTCCTGAGAATCATAGCAAGGAATTGCGATTAGTTCGCCCAAGTAAAGGAGTTTCATTTAGGGATGAGCGGCTTGCATTTGCTCCATCACAAGGTGTACCATGTGTTGTGTTTAGTACTATACCTTATTCAAAGACTGTTCGTAATCCACGGTGAGTTCTTTGGTCATACTTGTATAAATCAATTTAAATTACAAACAATGACTTAAAAATTATGGTCAAATTCTATTCTTTTTTAAATTAGATATTCTATTTTTCAGATCAGATTTAAGAAAAGATGGTGTTCGTAGGCGTAATACTTCAGGACCAAGGCCTCTCTCTGCTATTACTGATAATGGTGTGGATCCTTTTGATCTGCTTGGTTTAGAAAGGGAAGAGAATGGGCAAGACATTTCTTATTCAAAACTGTTGGTTCCGTCAAGAGTTTGTACAAGAGAACAGTACAAAAAAATGTATGAAGGCGACTTCACTGACAAGTCAAATTGGAAAATTTTGAATCGCCATCCACATGTTATTGCGAGGTAACACAATTGATTTCTTCTTATTGATTTATTTACAGGTTCCATGTTGCATGTTCTTACTTTGTTATGACTGTGCGCAATACATTTTATAACTCAAATATTGGTGATGCAAGTGCTGTTTTGAAAAATATTTAAAAAGCTAGTTAATATCATGAAAAATATTTTTTTTATTAATAAAGTAATTTAACAATCAGTATTTTACCACTACACAATATTTGCTATAATTTAGTTAACTATTTCTAAATGAATTTATCTAGAAACTCCTTTGAATTAACCATTGCATTTGTGATAAAGCACAGGAGAAAAACAAGACTAAAAAGTTGAAGGAGATGCCATGTGGCAACCATGTCATAATTAATTGAATATTCCATCAATTCACTTTCCTTGTTTGACTAAAATATGGCCTTGCTATTATAGTCTTGATTTAAGAAAATTAACAATCACCTTTATTTCTTACTTCCAAACAATTACGAAAAGTTGGCTGTTAAATATGCCACCAAATTGTTGCAACAACACATATGAGTATGATGATACATTATGAATTCACACACTTTCATTATGTACGAATAAACTCATGTCATCTCATCACTAACAAATTTAAATTTCAGGACTAAATTATTGACGAGACACAAGGATAAGAAATGGTAAAAGTGAACATGACATTCATATGCTATGCAATGCAAATAGATTTGGCTAAAGAAAACTAATTAAGATTAAATAACAAACAATTAGCTATTAATTAACCAATTTCTTTTACTACTGTCTATAAAATGTGTAATATCTATTTAGGCACTTTATTTTTCCCATTGAAATATGGTAGTCAGCTTGTTATTACTGAATTATATCTAGTTAAAATTATATTGTACTTTGTAAATTTTGTAATTAATTAGTTGCATAGTTTATAGACAGAAAAAAAAATATAATACTAACATGAATTTCATAACATTGGGACTTTGAATTATACAATGCAGTAACCTTATTGCAAGTTAACATTTGTTCCACATTAAAAAAATAGACACATTTCACAGTTAGATCAGGAGCTGCTATAAAATAGTATTAACAATAATACTCAATTTAACTCACAGTAAGCGAAATGTATTGGATCTGGTACTAGTGCACTTAATATATGATTTGTTTTACTTGACAAATCTTAAATAGTTATTTTAATTATGCCAAGCATAAAGACACTTCCCTCTTCCCTTTTATATATATGATTTTTATGGCAAACAAAAATCTGCAGTAGGTAACAATTAAACTTTGGTATAGCAATATTCTGCAACCACAATTTGTACAACCGTACATGCATAAAAACAATTGACTTTCTTATAAGTACTCATATAAAATTAATATGGTTACAGATACGAAACCTAAATAGTACTAGTTCGTTATTACTACTATGTAATGAAATATGTAATGTTTTTTTTTATCATTCCACTTCTATTATGAGCCTCTGTTATTTAATGCATGCACTTTCTTCTAAGATATTGATAGATATAAAAAAGAGCTTTTGTTATAGAACATGCCTTATTTAAGTTACAGTAATTTTACAGATTCCTGATTTTTAAAATTTTGTAACTCAATTTGGTATACTCAACTCAAATATGTATTTTCTTTTCATGGAGCTATTAGATTAGGATAAGTTAAACGGTATAAAGAAAATCTAAACACTTTTAGAAATATACAACCTACAATATTTGACGACCTTCGTAGTCGAATGCTTCGCATGCCGGTTTCAATGTGTTGCCAAGGTGTTGTCCCGGGTTCGATTCCCGGTATCAATGTAGAAAATTAACTTTTCTATATTGTCTGTACGGTGAAGTGATACCTTCGCTGTCTCAGATACTCCTAAATAGGGGGGCCTTAGTTGCTCATCTTGGAATCTGAGCAATGTATGTGATGGTGTTTAATATTTATTTATTTGTATAGTTTCATTTATCTGTTCTTTTTCTACGTCTAATCTCGGTGATTCTTACTGGTTGCATCGCCATTGGCGCAATGACCCCGCTGACAATCCGATTAAAATTTGTTCTAACGTCTTGACGTCGTCGAATTTTTTCCGTATTTCACCGAATGCTAAATTACAGAAACTTGTAGTATATTATTCACATTTTGCCAGTTTTTAAGTAATATTTTGCTTGCCAGTACGGATTTTGCCATTGGTGACGACCGAAATTGTCTTTTTTGAATGCACGTTGGGGAAAAAATAATATTGCATGCATTTTAAGGGTATTTGCTTCAACTGCACGTAAAAGTAATATTGTAGTATTTTTATTTAAATAGCTGTATCTTAAGATTTAGAACACTGGAATGTGCAGGTGTTTCTCGTATGAGTCGTCGCAAAGAACCACAATGGCGGCGTCTCCTCCACATTCTTCAGTAGAAATGAAGACATTTGATTGGGATGAAGGGACACTTATATCACAAAAATATGTAAGATCATTTAGCTGCCATAATTAAAACTTTTGTAGCTTCAGTGTCAATATAACGGAAACCATATACAATAGGTAGTCGAGACTTACGAATACACTTAAAATCTTTCTTAACATATTACCTTTATATTTCTTTTTTGTAGGTACATTATTGTCCAAACGTGCTTGACGATCCAGAACTGATTGCTGGCAAACACAGGACTTTGCTGACGTTCACATCATACATGACTTCAATTATTGACTATGTCCGTCCTCAAGACTTAAAAAAGGAATTGAATGATAAATTTCGGGAGAAGTTCCCACACATCAAATTGACGCTCAGTAAATTGAGAAGGTATACTTATACGCTGCTTGATCTCAGTCTTGCAGTTACTTCGATTTTCTCTCATCAATGTTTATTATTCCGTAGCATTAAAAAAGAGATGCGCAAAATAGCAAAGCACGATGGTGGAGGAATTGATTTATTATCCGTCGCTCAAGCTTATGTTTATTTCGAGAAACTTATTCTTGCAAATTTAATCAACAAAGATAACAGAAAACTATGCGCAGGTGCTTGTTTGCTACTGTCAGCTAAGCTCAATGATGTTAAAGGAGAAACTCTGAAGGCGTTAATAGAGGTAAACAGAGTATATTTTTTAAAGAAAGTAATTTATTTTACAAATTCAATTATTTCTTGTTACTATTGAGTGTATTTATAAATATGAAAAGATTGCATATTTTAAAGGTCTTTGGAATCTGGTTTACCATTTCTTTAAATAACAGCCTATTATCTAACGTACATATTATAATATTCCATTGAAATACGTTTACATATGTACGTACGTTACGTTTTCATACGTATTACGTAACATTTACATATTATTATAATATTCCATGGAAATACATATATCAGATATTTAAAGAAAAAAGAAAATGTTGGACTGTTAGTATAAGTAGGATAAAATACTAAAATATAATAAACTCTTTACAGCGTATCGAAACAACTTTTAGAGTGAATAGAAAAGATTTGATGCGTTTCGAGTTTGCTGTATTGGTGGCCCTAGAGTTTGGATTGCACGTTCCACCGTACGAGGTGTTCCCGCACTATCAACGGCTGCTGCACGACTCGTGACCCTGGCGAAGGCTGGCCTTCGAGCCGTGCATCCGCGTCTGCCATCGGAGGCGAGCGAGCATCGTAGACAATCTAAGAGCCAGCGCTTGGATATAAACATGCGGGCAAGTGTTCCTTCTTATTATATAGGGCGTCGTTTCTCATCGTTATTGGGGTTGCGACCCATTCGTAATAGTCAAACGGTTAAATAATAATCGACACATTCCCATAGACGCTTACAAAATCTAATTTAAACTTTCATGATAATGTATACCGGGGGCCAATTGTCTAATTTTAAAATCAATCGCAATCCCTTACAATTTGACATTTGATATATATTAATGAACTTTAATCTGCAACCTGTTTGACGTGTGATAGCGCTTGTTATCGTGACGCTTCTTTGAATTGGATGACCGATATGGTTAATTGGACGTTAGTTGAAATTATTAAAGGCAAGCTTTATACGCAAATGTTTTTGAAAGCTATTGAGAAATGTCAAACGAACGAGTTAAATACTAACTGCAACCTTTCAATGGGTTTAGCAAAGTTTTTATTATGTTTCTTGATTAATCAAATCATCATTCATTACAAAAGCGTTTGTGACTTTAAACGTTACACGATAAATCATTAACGCCACCGCAAACCTTTAAAAAGGATTACAGTAGATTTCGAAATTACGCAATTAGCCCACAGATCTTATTTTTAAAAAATGGGTGCGATGCCTATAATATGGGTCCTCAAGTTGAGAAATGATTATACGCCCGCAATTTTCGACATTGCAGTTTTCTACAGGAAAAAGATATTTCTCGCACTTCCGTTTATTGTGTGTCAGCATAATAAGATATGGTTCTTGTTGGTAACTCTTTGCAATATTAAATTTATTCACAGAAATTAATTAACTTAAGCAAAAGTCCAGTTTTACAGTTTATTTTTCTATCATTTCAAGTATTACTGTTTAAGTGACAATAATTGAATTCACTAAAAGATAGAAATTTGGATTGTTTCCCTGCTAGGAAACAAGGTGCCTTAAAACTAATACAAATTTGTGTAACTTATTCAGATAATTTTCATTGGCGATTAGTTCCTAGAAACAAAAGTGTACTACCTAATTAAGTGATTTATGAGCGAGTATTAAGTGTAATCAGGTTTCACTAAATTCGCTGTCAGTTCGTAGCGAACTGGTTATAGTGCGAGGAATTGCTGGAATGTTATAAGAATTGAGGAAGCTGTTTCTTGTCAAGAATTGTTGTTATGTTATAATTCTTACATAGTTAATTTCATTTATGTATATAATGCGCATAGGTCTTAATTAAATACAGTATTGTTCACCAATTCAGTCTTACTTCTCTCGTCTTATTTTAAAGGTAAAAAAGAGATTGTATTTTAAGTAAATTCATTAAGCACAAACTTTAGCTATATTAAATAAAAATTTGGTGGGATAGTTCGATATAAAATTTTATCGTATTTCCTTGGGCAAACAAATTATTATTGATATTTTTGTATGAACAACATTTGGTTTGTTATCCAGACGTGATATATTAAATAATTTTATGTAATGACCATTTTATATTTGAGATATAGATAGTTGGAAATTAAGTTTAACATTTATAGTATGTAACTCCATAACATTTAATGATTAGATTCTAGATAAACATTAAACGCACTGTACAATAAATGACAATGGTCAACAAATGGTCGGAAAGCCATGCAGTCTAGTCTTGGGCGTAATAGTTCGCAACTTCTAAACGAACTACAAGAGCGATCTAGTTCGATTTCTAACCTCTTTGCTCTATACAGTAGGAGCAGTTTTAAAACGAGCGAACGCTCTGCCTTATAATTGAATAATTTTAAGGCAGATACTGCTCCTTCCTGTTGTGACAAAATTATTGAACATGCACATTTATATCAAATTTTTGGACACAAAAATAAAAAAATAACAATATGAACTAATATTCATAAAATATATTTTAATATAAATTAATATAATTATAATATTTATATTTAATATTAAATTAATATTTATATATTTATTAAAATAATATTATTAATATTTATATTTAACATTACCGTGAAATGCTGCAACTTTGCCTAATTTTAAGGTTTTTTGCTTATATCTCTAAACCTTTATATCTAGTTAAGCACAGAAATGAGAAAATTCTATTATAACTTTCATCCCCTAATTTACCCCTTAGGGGTTCAATTTCATAAAATCCCGCTTTACTGAGCATCTACGTCCTAAAAAGAACTCGCATGCAAAATTTGAAACTCCTAGTACATGTAGTTTCTGTGATTTCGTGATGAGTGAGTGAGCGAGTCAGTGATCTTTCGCTTTTTTATATGTATAGATGGCATTTAGTGGGTTAAGATGGAAAAGTAGATTTTATTATTTACCAAATATAACCCAAATCTTATTAAATCGTGCTCATTTTTCGACGATAGGGTTGTGCCAAAAATTCGTGTTTTTTTTTTAATATACCAAAGTATACACCATTGCAAAAAAATATTATTTGGTTACAATTTTAATAAATGAAAAGTATTTTCTTCTATCAAAAATAATCACGAGAAATAATCATGCCACACGTTGAATTATACAAATTTCCTCAATTGATATTGAACCAAATGAATTTGACATGGAGCCCGTTAAAGATCATCATTCATCATCTGCAGTATGAAAATATGTTTTTGACGTTGAGCTTGAATCGCTAGAGTGTACATGTTTCTTCTCCTTTTATTTTTGGATGACTATGTTTGGGACTTGTCTTTTTCTTTTTTTTTGTGTATCTATTTTTTGCAAAACCATATTTTTATCAGGAGAAGCTCTTTGATAACTGTATTTTACGTAATTGTTATTTTAGGAGTTTTCTAATTCATAAGGGACTTTGTTTATGTTCATGATCATTTCTAGGTATGTTGACTATAATTAATTGTAGGCATTCTGGTGTTCCATTACAAAATGGAGCGTTCATGTCGGAACTCTTTGATAAATCTTTTAGACGATGCACGAATTTATAGGACTCTGACGCTAATGGCATTAATACAAAGCTCACAAAGTTTATCAGGATTATTACCAACAATTTTAAACCAGGAGAATATAAGCATCTACCTATTTCATTGTCATGGATTGGCGGTGAATTGGATTTTTTGAATGTCCACTATTTGTTTATTTATCTTCGGAATCTTCTTGGTCTAACTTTTCTGCTTCTACAGTCGATATAGATTTGTTGAGTATTACTTTAAGTCTGCAGTTTTGTCCTGTCTTTGAAGGTTTTGATTGCCTATTCCGCTGTAAAAAGTCTAGAAGGTTAGCATCAAATTGACGAATGTTTTCTTCTTGTACCGTTGGTACCTTATCGATTAGTCTTAATGGACTGAAAGGGTATATTCGAAATCCTTTGCGTAAGTTTGTCTCTTTTGTCATGTTTAATTTAGTCGTTAGTTCGTCTAATAATTGTAACAAATAACAGTTAATGATATTTGTGAGGCCGTATGTAGCTTTGTTATTAATTTGAATTTTACGCCAATGTCGTTTCATTAGCCCGAAAAATGCCACATCTAACGGTTGAGTAAGGTGTGTAGCATTTTATGGGAGAAAAGCAACTCTTATATTATGAATTTGACATATTTGTATTGACTCGACACTTAAGCGCGAGACCAAGTTATAGCCGATTATGAGTTTCATGCAGTGAATTGGCCCACGGCAAAACTATAGTCTTGAACCACTTTTCGAACTTGCGAAACGTCATATTGAATCCTGACTTAATACGATTATAAGGAGCATTTTTGGACTATTCATGCAAGCATCCATAAATTATCAGCTTGTTTGGAACATAGGGTAGTAGGCATTGACCGTCATCAGTACCATTGAACATAACCGGTACTACGCTTTTGCTCGCGTTAATAACCCTTTCGGGATGTTCAGTCCCTCGTTTGAATATACATTTTTGTGACCCGTGATCATTTGTTAGTTTTGTCTTGTCGAAATTTAAAATATTTCTAGGAGGTATATTATTAAGCGATGTTTCGAATTTTTTTAAATATTCGTTAAATTCGTCTACTGTCTTTGCAGCACGAGATTTTTTATGTTTTGTACTTCTCTTTGTGAAAAATTGTGACGTTCTAAGAATCCCCAGAACCAGTGTTCTTCGGTATTATCCCTTTAAAAAGTTTAGTTTTTCAGGTAGTTATACACTATAATGAGCAGTGCAACATAGTTAGAGGACTGCCAAATTGTGCAGAAAGACTCACCACGTCGGCAACGTGGGCTTCCTCCTCTGTAGACAATTTAGTCGGTCGTCCACATATTTTGGTATGTACGTTGTTACTATGGTTTAGTATTGTCCGACGTGGGATACCAAATTGCTTTTGCGCTTTATATGATGACACAACTTCTTTTTTACTAATTCGCGTCAGGAGAATAGTTTGGTGGAAAAAATACACAGTGAACATTACATTCTAGATACTTAAGTATGATATCTATTGACAGGTGCGAGGAAAGGTTATCGCCTATTAATATTTTTTCCTGCTTTAGTGTTAAAATATGGAAGTGCTATATTCTCCACCCAGTCTTCGGTTATATAAATATTTAGGAGGGCCGTTTGTAGTCCAGGTATTATAGAGATAGACGGTTTTGTACATCACATAGCACGGTAACAGTGTACCATCGGCGGATGCAGCCTTCATCAGTAAGGTCGATGATTTGGTATGGTTCATAACCTTTTCGGGGTGTTCGGCACCTCTTTTTGTCAAAACCTTTTTCTTTCCAAGGTCGTCTGCTAGGTTTGATTCGTCGTAGTTCACGATTACATAAATCTACCCTCCTCTAATGATTTTTCAAGTTCTTTTAAATATAATTCTATTATTTGTGGCGATAGTGCGGCTCTTGAACCTTTGATGTTCTGACTAATTTGCTCTTCATTATGACGTCTTTCTTTTTAGTTTTATTCCAAGTCTATCTAAATATCCTTTTATAGTAACCCTCAAATCGTAGGTATCTAGTGGATATTCCCACTCGGAACAGGTGTTAATATACTTTATTATATATGTTTCTGCTTCTTCACTTAATGATCTTTGACCACTCTGACTCTTCATATTCCATATTTGTGGCGATATAAAACTGATTTACTTACATGATATTGCTTGACAATTTCAGCGAGCGATTTGTTTGCGGTTTCATATGCAGATATAGTTTTTTTAAGTATTAGAGGGTTATACTTCTTATACGGACTTCAATTTTTGAAGTATATATGCGAAGCATATCTGAAATAACAATTTGCTTATGTTATATACATTCCTCCTTTTTCAAGTCGGTTAAGTGATATGGCTATAAGCTATAAGTGTACAACTATAACATATTATACTTTCTCTACTTAACCCTTTATTAGTTACACAAACAGTCATATTTTTTGTAACATAATTAAGGTTTTTATTTTCTGTCCTCATATTCCTTACACTCCACGAATAAATGGTGACTTTCTATAGTTTTTGCCTGAAATATATTCATACAGTAGTCGCATGTAATGTTAATCTTTTTAATAGAAAACCACATACATATGTACATGTATCAATTTCAGAGTCGCAATCTGTGTATTCTACATCATTTGGTGTAATATTTTTTTGTTTCTTGCCTCTCTTAGATGGCAGTGGGATGTACAACCGACAACATGGTTTCAAAGGATTTCAGAATTGTTTATAATATTATTTTGATCTGTCTCACAATTACCCTTTATCCTAATGTGAGGTAAATTTAATAAAACCGCTGTTTTAAGGGCTCCTGAAAATTGGACACACCGTGGGATGATATTTGATCCGCAATTGCTTCGTATGCAACCAAAAATATTTACAATGGGATCTTGCTGTAGTCTCCTTGTTGCTAAGCTTTTTATGTCATGTATCGTGACTAATTTGTACCACACACGCCTTAATGTTCACAGCCAACAACTGCATTTAATGTCAACAATCATATCATAGATTATACATAATACTGGTATAGATGCGCCACTCTAAGGTCGAAAATGGAAACTTGTGCGGTTAGGGAACCACGAGATGGCGTACAAGTAGCTTTTTGTTTTCACACGGGCCCACTAGATGGCGCTTATACGCATTCAATATTGTTTATACATTATTTTATATGAATTCTTTTTATGTTAATTAACCAGTAAATTATTTACTGGTTAATTAACACAGTGAAAGGTTAATAAATTAAACTAATTACTAATACAATCTATTGATTTATTTATCTTTTCCTCTTATTATAAAATTCGTACGCCTGATTTTTGACATGGTCATTCCTATCAAAAACTAATTTTTCCATTTAATAATCTGTTTACCCCTAAACACAAACTGTGTACTACTACTTTGATAGAAAGATTACAAATAAAATCAACCAAAGCAGCTTTATGTAGCTTACAAGTTATAATACTGAAATCACATGCAGAATCAATAAAAAATATGATTTGATTTTTTAAATATATTGACGTAGGATTATCTCGTAAACATGCATCAATAAGATAATATATATTATTCATTAATTCTATAAACCCATCATTTGGATGGAAAAGTGATCGCTTAGTGTAATCAATTTCGTAATTAAAAGAATCAAAATCAACACCAGACCTACATAAATTATTTAAACAAGTAGCACAACTTTTAAAGATTTTTGATTTTGATTTTTTTTATCAAATAACCCGTTACATATTTTTTCGATTCAACATGCAATAGGGAATCATTATTTTTGATATCTGTCATAACATTTATTAAAGAATCAATGTTACATGCAAAATCAACAGTGGGAGAATCATGCTTAATACCAATCAAATGTGTGAGTGATTGCATGCAAGTATTAAAATCTTCTTCACAATTAGCACCGGCAGAATGAGCAGAATTATAATTATTAACAATCAAAGTCTTAAATGCATTGATAAA